TGGACGATAACAAACGACGCATTCGTTGTCTCGTAAGCCTTTGATCCCCGTCGACTAAGCTGTTTGCGACCTCACGTTCGGTTGCTTAGCGACTGAGGCGGCTGACATCGAAAAGTGAGTAGGTTCTAGCTCAGCATTTGCAATACTAAGTGTCGACGAGGCCAAGTGTGGATGTATCGATGCTTATGTCGGAAGTAGAGCTACAAGGTGCACTACCCGCAGCAAGGTCAGAGTTGATGGAAATTCCTACAAACGCTTGGTAGCAATATGTCACGTGTAGGCCTTGGTCCAATGGACGGCAAGCGCTTTTGCTGTACTCCAAGCGCCCCCGACACTATTAGCTGCAAACTTGCTGCAAACTCGGCAGAGACTGATAGCAACCTGTTCATTTACAGATTCGACGGCATGGCAGCTGCGATGCACCACGCCGCTTGACATGGATGTTCTAATGACATCTTCTCCAAGTTTCAGCCTTCGTGTTGAGGTGCGAAGCACTTGCTACTTTATTTCTCTTGAGATGCGAAGCACTTGCTGCTTACATTTGCCTCAGAAGCTCATCAATGCGTACGCCACCACTGACTGTAAAGTAATCGGCCACGATCGAATGAGCGATAAGAGGTCGACGGCATTGCCCATTTGACATTTCATCTATTGTCTGTCGCTGACTCTTCCAGGCGCAGCTGCCCAGTACGAGCTCGTACCTTGAAAAAGCCGGCGACATGGTACTTGGCTCCTATAATCCAAGTCGTTTGTTTGCCATGGCGTACTTCACCGATCCCTCTTCATAGCGACAACAATCACGTTAGTGTAACACACGAAAGCACAACAAAACGCATCACGAACCGTCCCGATATGGACGAGAGAAAATAAGTCGTCCGTTGCGAATGCAGACAATGAGCGACGATACCTGACGAAATTGATGCCTTTATGTCTACTTCCGAGAAACGCGCACAGCGATTACCACGTGACTGGTCACTTCTTGACACCAAGAATTGGCAAACGAGCATCGGATGACTCGCGGCTTGTCCAAGTGACATGGCACTACCACTGCGAAGGATAGACAACCGCAGACTTCACCTTGGCCGCATTTTCGTCGGTGTGCGAGCGCTACGAAAGCACACGCACGGCATCGACTGAGCACAGTGTTGGAAAATTACCCGTTCGTGTAAAAAGATGTATCCACTTCACGATTCCCGATCACGTCAAGGGACATGTCTGGTGCATGAGCGACGGCTCGATAGCTCAATGTCGCGAATGGGAAACAAATAGGTCAGGTGTCATCCAACGACAGCAAATGGCACTAACAGAGAAATCCAACGTGTGTGTGCGCGTGTTCGCACACTTTTCTTGGTATTCTTGCTGTCCTGCTCTCCACTCGGTGCGTGCATAGGCCTCTTACTTGCTCACGAATCTAATAAGTATTTGGTTCCGACTGCAAGAGCCAGCAACAGAAAAAACGAAGCGACCATTCATGTCGTACCGTCTCGAACCGCCGCATCCTCTAAACAATCCTCACGCTCCTAACGGTATTCCGTCCAGCAGCTGACGGGGGATAATGGCCCTCATCCAGTAGTCACGCAGCAGCCAGCCCTCCGCTGACGCGTTTTAGTACGAGATGCCGTTCTCACGAAGCAGCTTCTCCAGCTTTGCAATTCGTGCGTTCGCCGTTTCCAATTCGGACTTCAGCTTGCCTTCGGGCGTGTTGTCATTCTTGCTACCACCGCGTGCAAAACGAGCCACGCGGGCCGCGATACCGGAGCCCACACTGCTGCTCTTGGATGCAGACCGTGCACGCTTGCCATCATTCGTTACCTTACCATGCATCTCGGGGCGCAGAGACATCAGCACCGGGGAGTTGTCGGCACCACCCAGCCACTCGTCAGCAGTCATCGAGGGAATACCAGCGTACGTGTCGGGGAAAATGTCGTCCTGGAAAGCATCCGACTTACGCGGCACAAACACGTGCAGCGGCTCGATCGCATTCGACGTCAGCTTTAGCAGACGTGTCGTCTCGCATCTCATGATGTCGCAACCACGCTTGGGGATCATAGCCATACCCTTGGCCGAGGTCGTGGAACGGTACTCGCTGATCGGGAACGCAAACGGCTCGCCCTCCGACATCTCGTAGTACCGAATGTTGCCGTCGCCCTTACCGCACAGATACAAAAGGTTCGTGTCGGGGTCGTAGAACGGCATGATAACACCAGCAGCCTGGTCAATGTCCACCTTCTTCAGTTCCTTGTCGAGGTTGCGTGGGTCCCACACTTTGAACTGACGCTGGCTCTGGCGCGTAAAGCCCACCGTCACAAACGTCTCCTTGTTGCCGAGAAAGCTCATCTTGACACTCTTGGTGCCCATGTGCGCATTCTCCTTCTGTGCCGCAATTTGTCCAGAGCGCGCGTCGTACAGCCGCACGACCTTGTCCTTGCACGTCGTAGCGAGCAAGCTGCCCGTCCAGCTCCAAGCCAAGTCCTGAATCAGATTCTCGCCATGGTCCTCCATCTTGACCGTCTCGGCACCCTTTTCAATATCCCATAGACGCACGGAAAAGTCCGACGATGTGCTGGCCAGTACGTTGTTCGCGGTCGTGTGGAACTTAATAAGCGTGACCTTCCGGCCATGCCCCACCAAGTCCACGAGCGGATCCACACACGTCTCCGTGAGTCCTCCTTCCGGGATGCCCCAAATCTTGACCGTCGTGTCGTCCGAAGCCGACGCAACGAGGTGTTCGTGGAACGGATTGAAGTCAAAGTCGAGGATCGCGCCGCGATGGCCCGAAATCAGTGGGAAGTCCGGATCAAACTTGCCCATACGTTCGTACGGCACGACGGCCATCGCGCCGCCTCCTGCTTGAATCGACACGGCAAAGAACTTGGTGTTGCCCTTGATGTAGTTCTGCTCGCCTGTGGCTGTCGCCAGCCGCACGTTCGTGTAGCAGCACTCGAGCTTGGCGGGCTCGACGTAGACGTGGCGGAACTTGCTCTGGCGCACAAAGTGACTCATGATGGCGGGCGCTCACAAAATCAGTCGACAGTAGAACTTCCTACGTAGCAGCAGCAGCACCAGCCTGACAGCCCACGACAGGACAAAGAAGCAAACAAGAAGAAAGCAGAAATCGAGACAAGGAAAAAGCAGAACACCACCACAACACCAAAAAGACCACCACAACACCAAAAAGACCACATCAAGACCAAAAAGACCACATCGAGACCAAAAAGACCACATCGAGACCAAAACGACAAGACGGCATAAAAGACACAAATACACAAAAAACCGAAACACAGAATCAGATGACACAGTCCATGGTGCAGAAATAGAATCCGATCCTAAATCCGCGTGCAAAGAGCGTCGAGCGTCCACCCGCTCAACGCGCAGCCCGCGGGACGACGAACGCCGCTGCTCGATCGCCTTTCGCGGTAGCAAAGCAGCTGCGCGACGTCTCGACGCTGGCTGCTGCACGCGGCGCCGCCCGCCTGTCGTGGCGCAAGGGGACGCACCTTGAGCCCTCGAAGCTTCTTTTCTGGAATATGCACAGTGGGGGGAGGCGGGTCCAGCAGCCAGACAACCCGACCGCACGAGCACACAATACTGCGGGGAACATTCGGACAGATTAGTATGACGGATTTGCGGGTGGGACTTGCAGGAATTAATAAACTCGAAAAACGGAAGTGTGACGATGCACACGCCTCCGTCACAGTTTGTCGCATTTTTCGCTGCGACAGAAAACAAAAGCACACAACAAACCACAGACTAAACAGGAGGACAATCGTTCTGCTTGTCGACTGACTGCTTTTTTCGGATACGTCCTATCTTCAATTCTGTCAATGGAGTAGTATGGACGTGTCATGAGCGACAGTCTGCAACGTGTTTTTCGCTGTCGTTGCCAAATATCTCGCACTACATCGCAGTCTCTCGCTCTCCTTTTCTCTCTCGCTTGTGCGCTTCGATCGCAGCGACTCTGTATGAGCAAACAACGCCCACGATATGATTTGCGGTCGTGAGTCGGTCCAAGGCGATCGTCTGCTCGAATCGACTTGTCCGTCGTGAATTTTTCGAGCGCGCTAAGGCCGGGGCGGAACAATCGAACGCCATGCGCTCCTCTACGTTTTAGCACGCTAAGCACGCAGGTCGTCGCAGCGTCACAAAGCACAACTGATACACAAAAAGCTTGCGATGGACTCGCCAATCCCACTGCTCGGCTACTTGTGTGTGTGTGTGTTTGCGTGTGTGCTGAGGTTAGCTGCTGGTCGTAACGTTCCGTGCCATTTCCACCCGAACCACAGTTTGGACAACCCCAAGAACAGCTCATCAAACCTCTCGCTGGGCAGCACCGCTGCACATGTAGTAACTGACTTACCGGCCACGCTCTTCAGATGTCGTCTTCCTCCCGATAACGAACGCATCTGCGTGAAGGCGTCGTACGCTCGATACGATTCCGTGGCAGACAGGCCATCCCCATCCCCCACCCACAACTTGTCGCGCGCACAAGGTCGATCACGACGATCATTAGTTTTCAGGCCGTTCATAGTTCATGAGACGCACGTGGCAATCGTCGACTGTGCGCGCGTATCATCGTGACTCTGAATGTGACATGTAGGAAGAGAGGACGCGTAGCAGCACGCGGTCTGCGATGCCTATAGACCACACATCGATCGGCTGCGGTCGGGTAACACGAGTGAACATGTATCGCGCAAGTTTGGTGTGCGAGCGAATGGGCTCTATCGGACGGTTATCTTCGTCCACGCAGTCAGTTTGCTGCCACGCACGCCGCCTCTGCTCATCCCGCGTCCGGTCATAGCGGTGTCGTCAGTGGCAACTGAGGACCGACATTTCGTGACAAGTAATCGGACTGCTGTCATGTTTGGTGGTAGGTCTCGTTCTCACGAAAACAGTATGCAAATGCTATGACTAAACTACGAGCACTCGCGGCCTTTGCTGCCAACTCAGTCTTGTCATATGTCCACGCTCAGGACTCCATTCGTTTCGGCATAGTACTACAAATGAAGACCGAGTCTGCTGAAGGGTCGACGGCATTGACCGCCACCGCGACGGCGACAGAGATGCTGGACCGCCAGGACTTTATCGACATGAACCGTGGTACGTTCGTCTGCACACTTTTGCCCTTCCCAGTGGTCGGTTGTTCACGCGCGTTTGCGCTAGAGGTGCACGAGTACGATGAAATGCGCGAGCAGATCATTAAACGGTCACGAGAGATTCTGAAAGCCAGGTACGGGCAAATAAATAGTAGTACTATAAAGTTGATAGTAACGTTCCAGCATCGAGCGCTCGACGTGGCGATAAGGTCGTGGCGTTGTCGGCATGTCTGATCCAACGATGCAACGATGTGCAGCAAGCAGGCGATCTTCGCGCTGCATCGCATGGACAGAGCACAAGCACTGAAGCTGCTCACGGACGCCGAAAAGGTGAGCTTGTGGATGTGGTGGTGCCAGCAGCGGGTCAGCTAGAGTACTATTTATTGAGTGCACTACTTTGTCGACCAGGTGATCCCGGAGCTCGTGGCGCTCGCAGAAAAGAACCCGTCGCTGCGAGACGGTGCACTGGCGTCTTCGCTGGAAGAATACGTCGAGGCCAAGTGTCTGGGGCATTACCTCGAGCACAAGCGTCTGCTGCCACGTCGAGACCTCTCGATCGTGCAAAAGAATGAGTATCTTGGCGGCGTGATTGACTTCACCGGTGAGACAAGGGCGGAGAAGCTGTTTTGCATTGTGGTTGAAAGATAGGACGCGGTCGACAACTTGTGGTTGCGTGTTGGTTGATCGTTCTTTTGATATCCGTGATGCAGGTGAGCTCATGCGACATGCCGTCGTGAAAGCTACTGCACGAGACGTGGAAGAGGTGAGACGATGCAAAAGTATGGTAGAGGCCATTTCTGGAGAGCTCATCCAGTTTGACTTTCGGAACGGTCCACTGCGTCGCAAGTTCGACTCGGTCAAGTACAACCTGCGCAAACTGGAGGTAGCCCGCATAGCTGCCTGTGCCGGGACATCTCGAGTGCTTGGATCTGAGCTGTCATTTTTGTTCTTGCTGTGTAGAACACGCTGTACGAGCTGTCGCTGGTCACGAACTCGGGGCTGACTCTGCACGCACACTCGGTGCAAGAAGAACCGGCTGCATCAACGCGCGAAGAGTGTGAATAGCTCTGCATGAACGGGTTCGAGTTGTGGGCAACACGGTAGAGAGAGTAGCAGATTGCGGGTGGAAACGACCAACGTACAGCACAGGAGCTCTACAGGTGATGAGTGGGCATCGTGGAACAAGTCAGAGGACGCAGCATGCCGTTGCTCTTGTGTACGTACCCTTGCACCAATTTTGCAACATGGTTGACAGCTCTCGTCTTTGCACATGACACACAACGCCAATAGTCTTGCGTCACACGCATGCAAGAAGAGCTTACATGCCAATGATACCGTCTGTTTAACCTGCTTGAGGAAGTGTGCATATCGTTTTACCCGCGATAGTATGTAATCGAACCGTGCAGTGCCATAGCTTTCGGCCGTGACCGTTTTTGACAGCCCAAACACATTGACGTGTCTTGTGTCGGTTCAAGTCGTGGAGCAATTCCACTTGCACTTGTAGTCAGTAGTGGGTTTCCATCGCCATTAGGGTCTTTCGCGTACTTGCCACGGTGCATTTCTAGCAGACGATAGGAGATGAGCCTGCTGGAGTTCCTCTGTGCAAGGCAGTCGTCTGCTTTGTGGGTTGGATGGGAACCCACGACTTGTAAATCAACAGCTCAACGAGCAAACGGTGGCAGGCGTACCCGATGCTCTTTGTGACCGGTGACTTGTTGTCAAGAAGCTTTGTACAATGCCTATCTCGTGTTTGGTCTTGCCAGGCAGGAATGCTCGTAATGTATTGCCACGAGTCGCCACGAGCATACTGAATTATTCAAGAGGCACTCATACCGCACAGACGACTTGGTATCTCGTCAACCGGCCACTGCTTGTACTAATTTGGAAGTCGTTTGTCCAATGCCGGTCTCCTACCTACTTGTCTCCTTCAGCTTTCTGCTCTCGTACCTTTCGATCGTAGCTTTGACCGACGTAAATGCAAAGGTCTGGTACAACCTTTCGTAGTGGCACATCGTGCAGATGAGTGATAGATAACGCAGTGCTGTTCAGTTGCCACTGTGTGACGTGGCCGTTGACTGAACAAAGTGCCTTCGTGATAGCGTGACACAAAAACTCGCGTGTACGCAAAGGTGCTCACTCTTGACATGCGCTGTTCCACTTGACTTCGAGTACATCGCAATGACACTCGCGACAGTGCAAGTGCAGCGACTTGCACAAGTGACGCGGTGCAACAAAAAGCGCATACGGGCTACGATGAATTTCGAGTGTACTCTTCTGCTGCATATCCACGTGAAGGTCGTTTGACACGTGCGTCGACAGCTACTGTGTGTCACAGTCATGTACCGTACCATCGATTGACTTTGTTCTCGTTCATTGTTGCACGCACAATGTGCGGATGCGCGAGGGAGCGGTCATGCTATGAGTCGCGCTGGACAGCCCTTGCGAGCTCTGTAGATCTGGTCCACGAGTCACGTCCGTTGCTGCACTACTGGGAGATTTTCATTGGCACCGATCGCGACGTGGATTGCTCGGCTACATCACGATCGTATGGGCGTGTGCAACTTTCTACGTTGAGCATAAGGTTGGTCGGGTACCTAAACGGCCTCGTTGACGCATAGCTGGATGACTGGTGCTCGCAATGTAAAGACGTTCGTAGTCGAAAAAAGACTTGGTCGAGACGAGCTCGCTCACGTGTTGCTGCATAGCCGAAAGATGTCCGTAGTTTGTCTCGATAATGCACATTTGCCCCTGGGTGCCGCTATCACGAGAGACGGTGTGTCCTGACTCGGCATGGCACACGGATAAGACAACCAGCATTGCATAGCTGTTATAGTAGCCGTACATCACGCGCGACTACTTTTGTTGCACGTACGTAGAATCAGGATACCCATCCAGACCGCAGCAACGTGTGTGCGAACGCACGTGTGTCAGCTCGTTTGACTAGCGCGTTCGTCACGACAGTCGATCGCTATCGTGTTAGACTATCAAATTGAGGCTTCGTCGCACATGCGGGAGCTGACGGCTCTATCACCGACTATAGTAGCACCTCGTTTCTAGTGCGATGCACTTGTAGTGCCATATTTGCCCCAAAGCTCTTTGAACGAACTTGAGCTCATGCGCGCGTATGACCAGAGTGATGTTTGATCAGGCGGTCTGATAGTTCTCCTAGTGCGAATGCAGCCCGTGCGATGACCAACTACTCGAAGTGTCTGTGCTCAGCGGTCAAGAGAGCGAGAGAGAGATGGCGTGTCATCTTGTTCTATGGGATTGCCACGTCGAGTCGCACGTAACGGCATTTGTGCCATCACAACAGAAGAGCCCTATTTCACGTGACACGGAATAGCATGTTGCACATACCGTCCAGCGCGTTCCGCGCAAGGTGCTCTGGCTGGTCCAGTGCACCATTGTTCAGCTAATCAATACATTGGCAAAGAACACTGCACGTCGACACACTCGATAGTCCGCCGTGTCCTGTGCGTTCAGCGCGTTCGACTGCGATGCGCACATGGCTGCGTCGATACGAAGGCAGTCACTGTCAAGCCAAATGCGATCGAGAGATCGGCGGACCACACACTATGGCAAGATCGACGACGATCTAGAGGTAGCCATCGAACAACGACGAATAAAGAAGACGCCGTTTGCGAACGTTAGGGGACTCTATTGGCAGTACCGACGACGACAGAAAGAAGAGACGTGTTGCGAGAAGAGACAGTCGTGTGTGCGTGTCTCACGCATGTCGCAGCAGCAAGTCAGCACTCGTGCGGGTTCCCAAGAGCTCTCGGTCAAAGAGTCGTTAAGTAACGGCGCAGAGTCGCACATTGCAGGCCCCGATGACTGAAGTAAACGGATTTCAGCAACTGCGTCTGCACGAGCCGTTGCGATTGGTCAAAACCCTCGTCGACAGACCACTGCAGCCGTCCCACACATCATCTCAAGCGTCGCTCGGTACAGTCGCCGCTCTCTCTCTCTCTCTCTCTCTCTCTCTCTCTCTCTCTCTCTCTCTCTCTCTCGCTCCTCTCTCTCTCGCTCTGTGTCACTTGCGTCACGCACGATGGCGGCCGAGCACGTTCCGTGGGCCGCAGCCATTCTGTGCTACATCCAGTACGCCATCCTCATCACCTTTGGCCACCTTCGTGACCACGCGGGCAGCATCTTCGGTGGCTCGCGCTACTCGGACAATGCCAAGAAGGGCTACGCTCCGCTCCTCGTGGCCTTTGAGAACTTTTACACGAAGCGCATCTACCACCGTCTACAGGACGTGTTCAATCGACCAGTGGCTGGCTCACCTGGTGCGTAAATTGCCGCGTCTCTCCTTCTTCTTCTCTCCTTCCCTTCTTCTCCTTCTCCTTCTTGTTGTTGTTGTTGTTGTTGATGTTGTTAGTGTGTGCGTGTGTGTCTCTATATATGTGGCTGACATGATGGGATGGCACGTGGCTTGGTGTGTGTGTGGTCTGTAGGTGCGCAGATCGATCTGATTGAGCGGTACTCGGTCGACGAAAACAAGACGCTGCATAACAAGGACGGATGCATCCAGCGCTGCGTGAACCTTGGCTCGTACAACTATCTCGGCTTTGCCGACGACTGGATGAACACGTGCAGCAAGGAGGTGTTTCCTGCTGTCAAGCAGTTTGCACTGGCGTCGACAGTGCCGCCCATGGAGTTTGGCACGACGTCGGTGCATGTCGCGTTGGAGAAGGCACTGGCGAAGTTTATCGGAAAAGAGTCGGCGATCGTGTACAACATGGGCTACGCCACGAATGTCACGAGCATTCCAGCGCTCACGGACAAGGGCACGCTCATTCTCAGCGACGCACTGAACCACACTTCGATTGTCAATGGGGCACGGGCATCGGGCGCTTCGGTTGGCGTGTTTAAGCACAACGACCCTCAACACCTTGAGAAGGTGCTTCGTGCGAAGATTGTGGAAGGCCAGCCACGGACACACCGTCCGTGGAAGAAGATCATTGTCATGATCGAGGGCATCTACTCGATGGAGGGCGAAATCGTGCGTCTGCGTGAAATGGTGGATATCACGAAAAAGTACAAGGCCTACATTTACGTGGACGAGGCCCATAGCATTGGCGCACTGGGCAACACAGGCCGTGGTATCTGTGAATACTCGGGAGTCGATCCAAGTGAGATTGACATTTTGATGGGTACGTTTTCCAAGAGCTTTGGCGGCATGGGCGGCTACATTGCTGCGTCAGAAGAGATTGTTGGCTTTATTCGCAACTCAAGCGCCGGTGCAGTCTACGCCACGAGTTTGTCGCCCGTGGTCGCTCAGCAGATTCTGACCGCGCTGAACATTATCGCTGGTCTAGACGGCACGGACATTGGCCGCAAGAAGCTCGACTCGCTGCGCACGAACAGCAACTACTTTCGCCAGAAGCTGATCGATATGGGCGTGATTACGTTGGGTGACTTCAACTCGCCTGTGATCCCGGTGATGCTGTATCACATGTCAAAAGTGGGCGAGTTCTCCCGCGAATGTCTGAAGCGCAACTTGGCTGTGGTGACGGTGGGCTTTCCAGCTACACCACTGCTTCTAGCCCGCGTCCGTTTCTGCGTCTCTGCGGCCCATACGAGAGAGGATATTGATGCAGCTCTAGTAGCGCTGAAGGAGGTCTCAGACTTGTGCAATATCCGCTTTGCGAAAAAGGCATAGAGAAGGCCATGCGCGTCAATCGGGGAAAGTCGTCGCGCGTCTCTGACATTGGGCCAGATCGGTGCGTTCGTTTGACTACAGGCATAGAGGTAACAAATGATGGTGAAAGTTTGCCCGTGCGTCTTGTCGTTTGTTGTAGCCAAATGTTGGTCGTTGAGCTAGCTACAGAGGCAATCGATACGGTCGGAGCATATGGATGGTGACAGTAGTGGGCAAATGTCGTGCGCTGGAGTGTCATAACTTGTGCACAAGCTGGAACCACCATGCACAAACATGCCAAGACCATACTTCTCATTGCACTTGTTTGTCAAGATGGCAATTGCCTGCAAGGCATTTGCGTTATGCACGATGGAGGAGAGATCAGAGACAGGTTGACTGATGATGCAGGTGGGCAGTTCGTTTGTAGTTGTGAAATGGTTGTGCAACTTGCTTGGATTTTGACTCTCGATGGCTTGTAGGGAAAGCTTGAAAACAGTCACATGTGACACCGCTTTCCTTTCCACTGCTATCCGATAGGGTGCTCCACGAACCACGTGGGTGCAAAACTAATCAACGACGACCTATGACCCCATCTCATATGACCACGTGCGCGAGTGCCTCTCAGTATTGACAACAGGAAAAACGAGATCCGATTTGAACAAGCTGCTGTCTGCACAAGTCACAAGCATTTGTACCGCAGCAGCCTCTTCGATGATTCTCCACAACTTTCACTAGCATCCCTGCAATGCGTTTGACTTTCTCCACCCTTTTAGTATCGATCTGTCGTCTGGTACAGCAACCACAATGTTATATCGGGTTGTTGAGCAGCGGCAATACACTGCCCCTTCGTGTCATTGCGTGTATCCCCTGCAAACATACACGTCAAAGAAGGGTTGTGTGACTGCGACGCGGCATCGCGTGGCTTTTCAGACCTGCTTGGCACCATAGTAGCTACAGTTTCGCCTGGATGGTGTCAACTTGCAAAAAATAACGGAGCGAGTAAGCAGCAGCCCCACCACTTGTTTTACCTTCACCACCACCGAGTCACTCGGCTCTATGATCGCATCTTATTTTCTGGCTTATCCACGGCACTGAGACAAACATCACGTCAAACGATACTTTCACCTTCTTCGTCCTTCTCCACCTTTATCGGATCCACGTCGTCTACCTCCATTTTCACCACTGTCTCTGGCATTTCGGCATCATCAGTCTTTTCATGCTTGACAATGCCCTCGCTTGGGTCTTCCAGCAGCGCATTGACCTCGGATGAAAGGTCAAGTGGCTGGTCGTCGGGACCGGCAGTAAAAGCATATTCGCGCAGCAAGACACGTAGGTCCTTTTCCTCTTTCAGCAACGACGCAAGCTGAGCAACGGGAAGTCTACGAAGCATCAGGGGGAATGATGCCGGCTGAATGAGTGCCGAGCACTTCACAAAGCCCTTCCACAGCGCGTCCTCCATTTCCCAAACCTTCCTGTCAACGAGGATCTCCAACAGCGAAGCCATGTCACGCTGCAACGTAGGGTACGCTGTAACGCTGAGAATGAGCGTGCGAAGCGACAGTTTCGAAATCTTTTCCTCCTTCACCAGCACGCGACACACATGAAGTAGCACGTCCGACGGAAAAGCGTGGCGGTGTTCCACACAAAAGTTGATAGCAGCAATAACCTTCTTTTGCATATTTGGCTCGCTCTTGAGATCCACATGATGAAGCGCCACGAGCAAGTCGATCGGAGCTACTACCTGCGGAGGCATCGCTTCCAACAGTCGAGTGATGGCGACTGATAGCCGGGCTGGAGGTAGCGTCAATAGGTCGGGCAACAATGGGAACAAGGTCTCGCCGCGGATGTTGGGCAATACCGGAATCAGCACCGAGATGGAGTCCGGAATGTGCTCATGGCTGCGGTACAACGCTAAAATCTGTTGAACGAGATCATCTGTGCCCGACGAGCTTGATTCGTTCGGTCGTCCACGGATCGACAAAATCTGAATGATGTGGCATACCAGCCCTAAAGCGTTTGGCTCGAACCCGTGCAACTGAGCGACGACATTCACGCTTCCGCGTTGCTTCAAATGCTTTATCAGTTTTTCAATGGCGCGGAAAATGGACTGGCGTACAGTCTCAGAAGCGTACGCGTACGTTTTTACCAAGTGTGTCAAAAGCGACGGCTTCTTCGCGCACAGTGCCAGGTAAAGTTCCAAACGCCGAAGAACCTCCAGCTCGCTGTCAAGAGGTCTCGAAAGATCCGTCTCATCCTGGATCTTGGCAGCATACGTGCGCAGCTCTTGGCTAGTGCTCTTTTCAGCAAGAGCTATTAGTTTCACCTGACTTTCAAACCAGTTGCCGGCTTTTTCCACTTTCACTTCAATCGGAGATTCGACGCTCGGTTTCTCACCATTCTCGTCTTCGTGTGAGCTGTGAGGCATGTCTTCATCTTTCACCGCACACTCCTCGCTTTGTGGCACAGGCTCTTGCAGCGAGTTGACCAGCTTGACCGCAAATGCTTCGATGTCCCTTTTGAGCGTACTGACACTATACAGCTGGTTGGCGACACACCTGATGGTAGCATTACGATAATGTTCGTCCTCGTGACATGTGTACCGCAGCAAAATCAAAAGACAAGGCGTCTGACATGCCATTCGCTCTTTTGCCAAATCACGCAGCAAGGTGATGCCTAGCACAATTCCAGCTTTCTCGCTAAACAGCGATGTGATGATGCGGAGAATCTCCACTGAAACACATGGCAGTTGTGCCACCAAAGCCCCAAAGAGCTTCTTGTCTGCCGACAAAGACAGATCCATTTTCTTCTGAAGCGCGTCAAAGAAGTAATTGACGGACGCTCGGTAGATCTGGTAATCACCAGTGTCGGCAAGAGCCGTCGAGCTCTCACCGGCAAGGGGTGTCAACTGAGAAGCTGAGGCACGAATGTACTCCTGACAAAGCAGATTTGTTGCCAGCGTTGAACGCACGCAATAATCGCCCAGAACGAAATCCAAAATTTTCTGATAAACAAACGGCAGTTTCAAACTACTTCCGGGCCCCGATGCCAACTTGTTGCTTTCGTCCGTGCCAAGAAGCCACAGGCTTGCTGCAAGTCGGCAAACAAGACCTTCACGCAACGCTTCGTCTCCTCGAATCTTTACCCCGTATTCATTTTCCAAGATCCGAACAAGAGCATCGATAGCCATCTCGTGCTGCCAGGCCAAGGTCTCCGGCTTCAGATGCACTTGGACCACGTTGTCCTCTGAGACAGATACGAGCGGCTCTGCGATTGTAGCAGCATTCTTCGATATCCAGTCGCTCACTTCTTCGACGGCAGTATCGTCAAAGATTGGCACGAGTGCTGGCTGCTCCTTGTTTTGTGCTTGCAGTCTTGGGTCACGTCGGAGACGGGGGTCGCGCATGCGTTTGGCGCTTTTCTCGATCGCAAGAGCAGACGAAGGTGTTGCGAGTTTTGCAAGCAGAGCGGACATTCTCGTCTTCAATGCGCTGGGCACTAGCTCCAGTTGTAGATCAGGTGGTGCTGGTGCGGTCATGTCGGAAGTGAAGCTCTCCAGCACCAAGTTGGCCACTTCGACAGCTTGCATGTTCACGATCCCGTCGTGTGTCACCTTCTCTTTCGAGACCGGGGCAGCTGATGACCCCGACAGATTCACACGTCTGCGCTTGGCATGCGCATTGGCGTTCTCTACTCGCTCCGTAATCGATTGCGCTGTGCGTTTGCCGATCCTTGCTCTGCGCAGTGAAGCTTCCGTCGGTGCTGACGTGTACCGTCGTCGTTGTTCTTTGCTCTTGCTGATGGCAGCAAACGCGCGCTGAGACGCACCGACAGCAATTAAAACGTCCGTCACCTCGTCTGCTAGCACCTGCGCCGCCGGATGACTCAACAGCTTGACCAAGTTTGCCGTCACCGTCTTTTGTATACCAGCATCTTCGGTTCCAGGCGTCGATACTGTGTTCGAGAGCGCCACAAGTCTCGGCAATACATGTGGCATAAACTGCGGTCGCACAGCTGCAAGCAGCGACAGCGAGTTCACAGCCACGCTCAGCTCTCGCTTCGCCAGCAAGAGCTTTGTCTCGGACGCACGTGCCCCAACGACTTCACACATGCGTTGCAACAACGAGACACCACGTGCTTCGAGCTCTGCCTGGACCAACAGTGTCGACTGAACTCCCTTCAGTCGATCCAAGCTGCAGACATTTGGCTGCACGTTCGACCTCATTGGATCTCGATACACGGACGCGTCCTGTGCCGTACTCAGCAGCATCACGCCACTCTCAAGGAACTTCCACGAGCGTAGCCAGACCATAGCACTGCGACTGCTGGACCCCGTGTCGGGCGCGTGGATCACAATATCGGCCGTTGCGTCGAGGCATCGCAGCGTCGCGTCCCAGCACTTTCGTGGCTCCAGGTCGGTCCCGTCCGTCTCAGCCTGCAGAGCCACATCAAAGCTCTGGTGGAGCGTCCGTAGCGCCAGCTGCAGCGCCAGCACCACGTTCTTCTCGGTCGAGTAACTGAGCAGAAGCACCGTGTGGCACACGTCATAGAGCGCCGCCACGACGGCCGCTGCCGGGTCCATGGCAGTCCCCGTCCGTGTTGTCTTCGTATTGGCCACAACTGCTGCAGTGGAAGCCGCTTCCTGGTCCAATAGCTGCAAAATGGCCGCCACGAGCGCCGCGTTCGGGAGCTGCGCGACCTGTTGAAGCAGCGGCAGCGCGCGACGGAGCACGCAGCGCTCGGCGCCCGACGCGTCCCGGTGCTGCACGATCTCCTGCACCTGATGGAAGAGCTGGAGCTGCTCGGCGTTGCTCGCGGCGCCCTGTAGCTGCTCGAGCAGCGCTGCGACTGCGTGACACGGCGCGTCGTCCATGTTTGTGTGTTATTTTGGGTCGTCGGGCGCGCGCGAGCGAGTGTGGGTGTGGGTCTTTTGGAGCCGCTCGGGGTCAAGTGTCGCATGCGCTAGCAGAGGTTTTCCGCAAGCGGGTGGCCCGTGGGGGTGGGTGTCGGTGTGGTCGACACACACACACACAACCGCGAAACCCCCAGAAACGGATCGAATGCGACGGTGGCACCAGGCACTCGCTATCGTGACAATGTCGCGTGCAAAATTGCCTCTGATCTCACTCGGTGTCCCTGTCGCTGTCAATCTCTGTGTGTTTTGTGTGATTTTCGTCCGTCGTTGTTAAAAGTGGCACCTCCTGCCACGTCGTTTTTCAAAAAGGTACGCTACTGTCATTTTTGCGTCCAGCGCCCGCACGCGTGTCGACTTGCAATGGCGTCGCCCGAAGTGCTGGGGAACCAGCCGCTCGTGATCGACAACGGCAGCGGCCTCATGAAGGCCGGCTTCGCAGGGGGCGAGACGCCGCACGTCGTGTTCCCGTCGTTCACGGGCACGACAAAGCACACGCGCATGATGCCGGGCGGGGCGTACGACGGCAGCGACGTGTTTGTCGGCAATCGCGTGCAGCACCACCGCGGGTTGTTTCGGATCCAGTATGCCATGGAGCACGGGATCGTCACGGACTGGACGAGCATGCACCGCATCTGGCAGCACGTGTACTCGAAGGAGATGCTCAATGTCCAGAGCGAGGACCACCCGGTGCTGCTCACGGAAGCGCCGCTGAACCCCGTGGCGAACCGCGAGCGGGCGAGCGAAGTGTTCTTTGAAGCGTTCAACGTGCCGTCGCTGTTCGTGTCGCCTCAAGCAGTGCTGAGTCTCTACGCGTCGGGGCGCACGACGGGTGTGGTGCTCGACGTCGGGGATGGCGTTGCCCACGTTGTGCCCGTCTACGAGGGCTTTACGTTGCCGCACGCGATCACAAGGATGGACGTTGCAGGCCGAGACGTGACGCGACACTTGCAGCTGCTGCTGCGTCGAGCGGGGTACAATTTCCAGACGTCGGCCGAGCACGAAGTCGTGCGCGAGATCAAGGAGAAACTGTGCTACGTGGCGTTCAACCCGACGAAAGAAGAGCAACTGGAAGCAGAAAAGTCGGCGCTTGCAGTCAAAGACATGCTCAGCGCCAAGACCAAGGCAACGACGAGTACGTCAGGAGACGACACGTGTGCCTACTACTTGCCCGACGGCACGCTGCTGAATGTACGCGTGCTCGGTTTGTGTGCTCGGTTTTGTGGGGGTGCTGTTGTGTTGGGGCGTTATCGAGAAAAGGGTGTTGTTGTTGTAACGCGGCGGCCTGTGTGCGATGTGTGTAGATTGGTCCTGAAAAGTTCCGTGCGCCAGAGGTGCTGTTCCGACCGGAGATCATTGGGTCTGAGGCACGTGGGGTGCATGAATGTCTGGTGCAAGCCATTATGAAGTCGGACCTGGACCTGCGCAAGACGCTCTTTTCGCAGATCATTGTCTCTGGCGGGTCGACGCTCTTTCCGGGTTTCGGCGACCGTTTGCTCGCCGAAGTGCGCAAGAAAGCGCCCAAGGACATCAAAATTCGTATCTCAGCACCACCCACGCGCATCTACTCGACATGGATCGGCGGCTCCATTTTGGCGTCGCTGGCAACATTCAAGAACATGTGGATCACCAAGAGTGAGTACGAAGAGTATGGGGCTTCGATCCTGCATCGGAAGACGTTGTAGGTATCTGCTGGGGCAGGGAAGTACTGACGGATAGCTTGATAAGGTCCTCCTGCCTAAATGCGTAGTTCTGCAATACTTTGCTTTGATTGTTGTTCGTATGAAGCTTGGGAGACGTTTTGTGGCAGCACTTCCGTGTCTTCGTGCACGAAGCGTAGCAACGTGAAGATGCTGGCACGGCAGGAGCAAAGCGGTCTCGAAGTGAGTTCCATTTGCAGGTCGCAGGCAACACAAGTCGCGGGCACGACAGGTAATCGCATGCATACGTGTATAACTAGTCCATGCAAGTACAGATGGTTGCGTGTCGTGACCAAGTACGCCTTGCACGACGTGCTACCAATTCGCTAGCATGACGTCCCTGTCCTAGTACTGGATCGACTTATGCCGAGCCTGAGACGGCGCCGCCCCGAGCTGCACGCCGTTTGTCGTCCTGCAGCTTCCGCTTCATCACCAGAACAGTAGCACCCCACAGCATTATGCCCCACGCGAGCCAAACCACGGCAAAGAGCAGCACATCGCGAAGCCCAGAGTGATCCTCTGGACAGCGCGGGTTCAGCTGCGCTTCACCGTCCACCTCCACTGTGCCACAGAGCGGAGCCCACTTGTCCTTTATAAAGCCTATAATGATCGGAGACGGCACATCTCCCAGCGCGTGAATCAGCAGCGTGTTTGTCGCAACGGCCATGGACTGCCGGTACTTTGGAAACAGCTCGAGCACGGATATCGTCGCAGGAACGGATAGCACGCACATGCAAAAGAGGCAGAGCGTGAGGAACAGCAGACACAGCAGTCTCGTGCTGACGAAGACCACCATGAAGATGCCAAACACTATCGCTGCCAGCATGAAGTAGAACAGCGCTTTCATGGAAACCATGCAGCGACGACCAATCTCTTCGGGCTTCTTCTTTGCGAGGTAGTCCACCAACAGTCCTCCCACCGGTGTGCCGACGGTACCAGTGACAGCGACAAGTCCACCGAACACGAGCGACACAATCGTCTCGCTCTCAAAGAGTCCGAGGCCAATAAAGATGGCCGGGCTGTACGTGCTCATCGCCGCCAACGAAAACGTGTACGCTGCCTGTCCCAGAGTGACGAGTATGAACGGGACGCAGCTACCGATGGCCCACAGCTCCACAAAAAACGACACGCTCTCAACCGGCTCACTGCGCTCGTTGTTTTCCACATAAGCAGTCAACCCAGTCTTGTCTTCGTCCCCTGGAGTACTCAGCGCGACGCCGCTCTGCTTGCTCTCCACCTCGAGCCTCGTCGCCTCCTTCACCGGGATCTGGTTCAGCTCCTCTGGTACAATCGTGAGGCAGCAGACCACAAAGCCAGCCATGATCAGCGCTTCCACGTAGTACGCACCAGCCCAGCCAAGTGCCGAGTTGGCAAAGAGCGAGCCATAAATGTACCCAATCGCCGTGCCGACCGTGATCGACGCCAAGTACACGCCGAGGTACAGCGACCGCTTGGCCGGCGGTGCGTAGCGGTTGATGAACGGCGTGGCCGTGCACTGGAACGAGGCTTCGCCGACGCCGCTGACGAGGCGGCCAGCAATCAAGACGTAGTAGCTCTCGGCCACCTGCGCGAGGCCGCAGATGACCACGGCGCCGATCCAGACCGTCATGCCCGCTGCAATGATGCGGAACGGCCGGTGCGTGAGCGCCAAGTAGCCAAAGACAATGGAGAACACAGAGTACGTGGCAATGAACGCCGACGTGAGCAGACCAAAGTACACAGACTGACTCAAGACGTCTACGCCCAGCGTCGCCGTGATAAAGTGGTTGAACTTCTCGGGCGCGCCGGGGATGATGCCGCGGTCAATATAGTTGAGCAAATTAATGCAGCAGAGCAGGACGATCGCGCCCTGTTTGCCGACCTGGTGGCCGCGCGCGCGGCGGTGGCCCATTACTGTCGTCCACGCGCGGGCCTCAGAGCGCGTGGGAAGGAGCGGGTGCGACAGCAGCGACGCGGTCTCGAGGTCCGAGTCGAACGTGTCGGCGGCGGGCAGCACGTGGGCCGTCGTCGTCGTGGGGCGCGCCGGTCGAGTGGCAATGACGGGCTCAGGTGTCGAGATTTGGAGAGTGGCCATTGCTGCGCGCGCGGCGCTTTTTTCTTGTCCTGGACGAGCAGCTCCTTTTCTCTCGGTCCACTTGACAGTAGCCACACAGTCACACACACACAGTCACACACACAGTCACACACACACAGTCACGCACAGGCGCGCGAGAGCTGGTGAAAAGAAGCGCACTTAGGGCGAGGCGCGGGCGCGGCCACTTGGTGTTTGTATGCGGACGAGCCACCCACCGAGCCACCCACTCGTGTGTGAGAGTGGGTGTGCGAGTCGGTTGTTGCAGTGGCTCTCTCGCGTTTGTGCCTGTCGCTGGTCACGCCGACGCCTCCTCCTCCTACGACGACGACGACGGCAAGTTACTTCAGGGACCACCACATCACCTGGGCGTCAGACATGGACGGGACGCTCTCTGATTTAGCTCACTCGGCGACGATAATAACAGGGGGCGCGATCACCGGCTGGCGAATAGACAGGATGAGACAGGAGCGCTGGCTATTACGAGCGCGCGTGACCTCAAGACCAGCAGGACCAGATCGTGAACCTGCTGCCTCCATCCGGCTGTCGCGCGAGAACGAGCGCCTCGTTGCGCACTGTCCGTATGCATTCCATCACGATTAGCTCGGGCGATGATCTCTCTCTCTCTCTCTCTCTCTCTTGGCAGCTTTATAGATAAATGCATATGAGTGCATAGAGCGAGAAGAGATCGACGGCAACTACAAGCACAAGTGCTGGACCCTCTGTAGACGTGCACCACTTTGCTGCTCGAGAGAACGTTCGTCGCTTGTGCCGGTAGCGCTCGCTCGAGCGTCAAGGACACGCTCTGGAGTGCGCACTGCCGCCTGCCTGGCCATTGATTGGCGGTAGACGCCTCGCCGCGGATGGCCGATCAGACGGTGGGTATGGTCCGTCGCTGCTGATCGGCCGCGACAACAAAAAGGTCAGCGTCGACGGATGGACAGTCGCGCCCGGCCTTTCTCTTTGCCCCACCAAAAGAGACTGCAACTGCAACAGGAGACCGCGTGTTTCGCACGTCTAACGCCGTCGTCCCGACTGGCAAAACAGAATCGTCGGCGCGCATGGACGAGTGGTCGCTGCGATTTCAGGTCCGACAGGCGTCGACGTCCTGAGCTTTCGATCGGACCATGAGGAAAGTGCAGTTTTGTAGTGGAGGAAGGGGACCAGACTGCCGTCGTGGTCGACTGCGACCGACTCTGGCGTTGCACTCAATAGTGTCCGCTTTGTATTCGGAGACTTTGCCAGGCTCGGAAGTAAAACGGCAGCACTCGAGATGATGAGCGCAGGAGTCGCACGAGGTTGTTGCTTGCCAATAAAAGCGCTTTTCTTTTCGTGCGCTACCAAGCCGCCGCCGCCGCCGTCCTTGCTATTCTCGCATCAGTCGGTAAGCAACATTCGTGCTACGTTGTCCCGATTGAAGTAGTAAAAGTAATAGCCGACCGCAGTCGTCTGTTTGAGGTTATTCTCCCCCTCTCCTCAGACGAGATGTCTGATCCCGCACTCGTCTCGCGACAGGCACAGAACCTATAGCTCTATCTCCAGCTCAACCTACAGCGCCATCTCCACGCGACAAGTCCATTCTCCTCTGGCCTCTCAACATAAAAGCACCCACCCCCACCCGCTCCAAAAAACATCCGTATGTGTTGTTCAACACCGGATAATATCCACTGATCGCACCAAGCATGACCTGGACCCGCGCCGACCGCGCGACGTCCGGCACCGCAGCGCCGCCCCCGACGCTGTCGTGCACCGCCGAGAGCGCCAAAGTGCTCGTGACTCTACTGAGCTGTCTCACACAGAGCAGACGCGACCAACGCGTGCGCTGCGACGTCGACCGACGCGGTCTGCTCTTCACTGCGCACTCGATCGGCAAAAGTCTGCAGGTCACGACGTCGATTGGACGAGAGCTCTTTGAGCGCTACAAGCTCTGTGCCCCACAAGAAAGAGATATAGAAGAAGAAGAAGGACGAGGAGGAGAAGGAGACGAGGACGACGACGAGGAGGTGCAGCTGAGCTTTGCGCTGAACGTGCACCTGCTGCTCGAGTGTCTGTCGATGTTTGGGCCTTCTGCTCTTGCGACGACGTCGCTGCAGATGACGTACGAAGCAGAGGTAGCTAGTTGTGTGTTGGTGCTGCACACAGTGGCGCTGCTCGTGTGTCTGACGTTACGTCGTTGTGTCTCTTCTCTTTGTGTGTGTGTGTGCGCGTGCGTGCGTGTGTGTGGTAGAGTGCGAGTCTGCTGCTGGTTGTCGAAGACAATGGCGTCATGTGCGAGTGCTCGATGCAAGTGCTGGAGCACGAGGGAGGCGACATGGACCAGCTGGAATTCGAGAGCGCGTTCGAGCAATCGGCAGTGGTAGCGCGCTGTATCATGCAGTCGGAGCCCCTACATGACGCTTTTGCCGAGCTTTATGACTTGCCCAGTGCAGCGAGCGTGACGATCGCCATGATGGACTGCAAAGGTGCTGGCGATCGATCGCAAGCCAAGTGCTTGAGTCTGAGCGCGACGTCCGAGACAGGGTCGTGCGAGATTGCGTTTGCACCCACGTCTTCGGCGTTCATCGAGTTTTCGTGTGCCCCTGCGACAGAAAGCGGCAACACTGGGACTTGTGTAGCTACCTTTCATGTCGCAGTGCTACAGCAGGCGTTCAAGGCGCTTGCACACTCGAACGAGACGTTCCTTCGCATGAACGGTGACGGCTTTCTGTCGATCCAGCACATGGTCGAGAGCGGAACAGGTGACAAAGCTTTTGTCGATGCTTTGATCAGTCCCGAGGACACATCCATTCCGTAGACTGGCGTGGCTTGACGGTCAAGAATGCGATGAATCGATAGGGCCAGGCTAGGGTGCAGCGGCCGTTTGAGTATGAAGTTTTATGCAAAGCACCATGGCCGCAGACCGTCGAGAGTGGGGTAAGAATGTTATCGTGCATTCTTACCCCACTCTCGACGGTCAAGAAGTCACGGGTCGAGTTTTGAGCGTGGTTCGTACGCACAAAGCATGACCATTTTGATGACTCGAGTGACTTTCGCATGAAGAAGACTGCTCAGTTGAGCTAGCGTTTGGTGAGGCTAGCAAACGCAGCGGCAATACCAGGTGCGGTAAGCTGCACCTGGTATTCCGTGGCTAGCGATCGCTTTGATGGCCAGGGCACGCATGTTTCGAGTGTCGTGTGGTGGAACACTGCACGTCTGAGTACTCGGTAGACTGGCTACGAAAAGTTTGATTGACCTGGCGTTGTCGAGTGAGTGATATGCTGCTGTCTAAAGCAGTCTATTATCCAAAAGCGCAAGAAACTGTGCACAAGAATCGAAATGCTGCGCTTGGAATGGAACGCCATTTGCTGTCGATCTGGATGTGAAGCTTTACATCTCAATAGTAGCTTTTGGACGTGAAGCTATGTCGCAGCAGTTGATGGCAACAAAAGTAAGTTGACATCGGAAGAGACTGCCACTTGTTTCGACACACGGGTATAGTCTCAGCTTATATTGCTTTCCAACCTCAGTGTAGAAAGACCAGTTCGGTCTGAAAGTCATGATGCAGTGTGTATGGCTGACACGCAGACTTGACTATCGAAATCAGTGCGACTTGAAATGCAGGTGACCTAGGTGGCCACGTATAAGCGTATCGAGGAACAAGTACAGATGGGGATGGCTAGCGGCGAACACGACTTACGCCAGCGTCAATGTAGACTAGTGAAAGCGAGGGGTACACGTGCACGACGAGCTGATCGCGAAAGAGACTGTAGCTGGACGAGCGAACAAGACACAGATGCAAGACAGATTGTGTCATCCGACTGGTCGTCGTACACTGCTATAAAACGGGGATCGCCGAGTACGTGTATCTTACGCACCAAGCAGACGAAGCTTTTCCGAGGTAAAGAGAGCGAGGAATAGCCGTGCACCGACGGCCTTGCATTCGATGACAATGGAAATACACTTTGCAGGCAGTGCGCGTTAGATCGGCAACCCAAAGTGCTGCCATACCCCATCTGAAGATCGAGAAGGACCGAAGGGCACGACGCATAGTAGATGAATCGGCAATCGGGACAGAAGGATTTTGCAAAGACCGGGTGCCTGTTCTAGATCCGTCCGATCTGACACTCGGAGAAAAACGACTAGAGCGTCGGGTAGAACAGCAGTGTCAATGATCAGGGTCGATCGCAGCGCCACCGCGTATTTTACCGACCATTCAATGCCGTCACGTCAGGCCTTGAAGGAAGCGGAGTGACCTGGTGAATTGTGGAGTATCTTTGGAAGTCGTAACCAGCCATGACAAATGAAGTTTTGCATGCCCCGCAGCTTTCACAAGCAAGACAAAAGCTGAGGCCGCCGGAATTGCGTGAAACGTGCTTGTTCCGGCAAAATTGGAGCGGAGGCAGGTTGACACAAAGGAGCAAGGGAACACTCGTTCATGGCCACGATGGCTGTGTGATTCTAGACGAACACGTGTAAGTTGCAGGTCTGACGATAGAGCGCATTGACCAACGAAGCACCCTTCTTAAGCACGTGCACCGGGGAGGGGGAAGCAGATTGGTCGCGACGATTAACGTATGGACAGCAGCTACTCGATGTGCGTCCTGAATGTTTCGTGCCACAAGCTGCCGCGCCGTTTGCTGTCAGAGCCAGAGGAACTGCAGCTCGACACGCATTGAGATCCAGGCGGAGAAGTATGCAATGCGCTTGCTGGAAAAGAGCATCGTGAGCAGACTAGTCAAGGTTTTGGGGAAACGCGGATTCAAGCGGTGGTGGGTGAGCGGTGATGGTGGGCGAAGAGACCAGCGAGTTGGTGCAAAGCTTACGTGCTCGTCCGATGTGGTCTTACCGTCGCAGATGTTAAATCTGGAAGATGGACAAGTGAGTGGCCTTTGTCGAAGAAAGCAAAGCTGAACCAAGCCCGATGGCCGCGTGAACCCCTGCACTTGTTGTGTTTCGAGGTTGCGACTGTTAATGAAGAACTTGGCTTACGAGACGTTCAGCAAGTGCCCATTATTTAGCAGACGGGTATTTGTTGTGGTCTGAATTCCAACAGTACATCTCATGTTGATACGTTGCCTACACGGCGTGCTACGACAGGGAGTGCCTACTACATTGTCGGCAAGACGATCTGCAGGGCGACACGTATGTAGCATCGGATGTGTCCGCCCGAATGGACAATCCTGACTCAAACCGAGCGTCAACTCTCAAATCTCTCCCTAGCTGGCGCGGTCTAGATGTGGCCCTCCATTGTCGGCAAGCCACCTGCAGTGGATGAAAGATTGACAAGCGGTGCATCTTAGCATGGGCAGCATGTTCAGGGATAGCATCACAGCGCACCTGCTGAGCCACGAAGTAGCGTCGATCCTCTAAGGCCATTCGATGAGCGTGTTGTTAGTCAAGAGTGCCGCAGTTCGGTTATAGCACGCAACTCAGCATACGCCACTCACCGTTTCGCACGTTGCGCAGCAGCAGCCCCCTGCTTCTTCGCTCTGCTTGCGTCGATCGATGGATGGTCCCATTGTGTGATGGAGAGGGTCGGATTGCAGTAGTACACATTTCCCTTCGAGCGAGACAAACGCGCTTTCCAACCAGGAGGAAGTGGCAACGCGTCCAGGTTACACGACTCACTAGCTGAAGAAAGACGATCACTCGCGCGCGATCTTGCAGACAGTTCTTCCTCTCCGTAGTATTTGTCTTTTACAGCGGTGAGTCTGCTCTTCAGGGACTCCATTGCACCAGCACCAGCTGCGCCGACCTCTTGCAGGAGTGATGCACGACCACCCATGTCTGTCATGTCACTGCCAGAATGGCGATTCTCACCATCACTGTCGTCACCACTGTTCTTACGCCACGAGGTGATTCGACGCGCAGATTGACGGAGGAACTGCGCGGTTTCAGCCGACTTTTGGGTCAGTGTTGCTTGCATGACCGTCGAGGGTCGATTCGTGTCGCTGTTCTCGTCGCCAATGTCATCACTCTCTTTCTTCGATCCCAGTTTCCGGAATACAGAGCGACGGTCCTTCTGTATCGATTTACGACTGGAGAGAGCAGGATCGGAGCCAATCATCTCCCGGAATTTTACGCACTCGCGTTCCACAGCTTCTAGTTTCTTGTCCTTTTCTCGAATCTACATCACGTCCAATGACAATGATCAGCAATGGGATATCGCACAATGTGCGTTTCTTTTCGCAATCTTACCGTGTCTCGAAAACCTCGCATTTTGACCTGGAAGTTTGCCGTTAGCACCGTTTGATCAAACTTCAGCTTCTCGATCTCTCTTTTCAGCTGCACATTTGACGCACGTTGTTCTTCGTTCTCTTTGCGCAAACGCCCGGCCTTTTCGTTGAGCTGGCTAATGATACCGTCGGCATCAGCCATCCACATGTGGGCAGTCGACTGCCCGCGAGAACGCGCATCATTTGTGTTTGCATACAGCGGGCTCTCGCTGGACGACAAAGACATACCATCCTTCTTCAGGTCAGCATTTCGTCGCTGTTCGTCGTGGAGACGCTCCTGCAGCTTGTTCAACTGGTGCTCCATATCGTCTTGCTGCTTCTTCTCCTGAAGTGCCTTCAGATACTTTGGCCGCTCGTACTTCATGCGCAAGAACGCCTGAATCTTCACAGCACCCTTCCTTTCACCCTTGAATTGTTCGCTGGACATCAAAAGAATGGCGGCACAAATCAGACAGACCCTCTCGCGGAAGCAAACAACCTGAAGCCTACTGGTACTTACCGTTTCACAAAACGGCGAGCATATTTCTGAATGGTAATTGCACTCCTATTCTTCTTGGCCTTTAGCGCAATGTGACGCCCTTTGTACCCACGCCACTGCGCTTGGAGAGTGATCACAGCAGCCTTGAATGACTGGTACCGATTCATCATGATCACGCAGCGAGCAACAGACTACACCTCGCGAGCACAAACACAAACAATTATTCAAATCAACCAAAGCGTGTCACCAAACCAGCGAAAGCAAAGAATGACGACCTGCAGTTTGACAATCGCTCGCAGCTTGCGGAGAAAACGAAGCCTGCAACAAAATCCACGCATAAAGTGCTGCAAGTGCCGAGCTTGAAGTTCCAACCGTGCCGACTTTTTGTCTTCCATTTGTTCCAAAATGCCATACCGAAAATATATACACGTAGACCCTATTTGGTACTGCTCAGGCGACGAGAATTCCATTTTTCTCATCAGAGCCTCGCAGCGTTGTTTGAGAGGTGTGGCGGTATTGCGATGCTCTACGTCGAACACCCAAAACCTGTCCATCAACTTTTCCAACAGCAATCGGTTTGGGTATGCAACACGTGAAATGCGGATTGCCTCGATCACACCAGCGCAGCGTAGTTGCGATACTACCATTCGCTGGTCCATTTCGTTCGGGCTTTTGTTATGATTTGGCTTCACACAACGCACGTAGTGCACCTTTGTTTGCCGAATGCTAGACATGAGCTCGTTTAGGTTGTCCTTGAATTGGGTGCCGACATTCGCCACCGCCAAAGCACCTCTCGCAGTCCGGCCGTTTCGAGCACTGCAATTACTTTTTTCCGTAAAGCGACCGGACTGTCATTCTTTTCAGCAAACATCGTCCGTAGGAACTGCTTTGAGGATCCCCTAATCAAGTCGGACAAATCAGGGAGAAGAGCGTCTTTGTGCTTTTCGAGAAAACCCAGCGACTCGTACGTCACTGCTCCAGCGTAGTGATTAATCGTAAACTGTGTGCGAGAGGTACGAGGAAACTCAATAACATCCTGTTCGTCTTTGTGGATCGTAGACAGCTTCGACACGAGCGACTCGTCATTGCCCTTGGGTCGCATCACTTCGTCGTTGAGCAGTGAGATGATACCAAGACGGTCTTCGATCACCGAAATGACGTCTTGATTATCTGCAAAGTCAATATGACTCCATACGATACCTTCGGCTTCGTACTCAAGTTGCACAGTTTTGAACACGTCTTGTGTAAACTTCTGCTGAAGTTTCTCATTTGCGTAGTTGATGCAGAACTGCTCAAACGAGTTATGCTTGAAGTGCTCAAACCCAAAGATGTCGAGGATGCCCACGTGATAGCGCATCTTTGTATCATTCTCCAACGACGTATTGATCGTCTCCACCAGCCAATCGAACACGTTGGAATAAATTGCCTTCGATAGCGCGCCAGCACACTCTTCTGCTTGATCTTTTTTCAGAAACGCAGTTACCGTATCTCCAGCAACTGCAATCTGCCGAGAGCACAAGGCTTTTTCCAGATCTGTTGTCGATATGCCCAAAAGTTGGGTCGCATTCTTTGCACCTGAGTCGTTTGGTACGATCTCTGACTCTTCGTTGCCATTCTTTGATCGAATTTTCAGTTGTCCAAGATGCACTATGCCGGCAAGCACCTCGAAAAGACACTCTTGCTGCGTCTCCGAGACACCAATCAGTCCAAGTGCCGTTTTCGTGCGTTCAAAGTGTCTGGCATCCGACATACCCTCAGTCGTGCTGGTCTCGTGTGCCCCTGTGTACGCATAGCACTCATTTGCGTCATCCAGACACCACCGCGCTTTACTGTCACTTGCGGACAAGAGCTGGTAAAAAATATGGTAGTTTCGCTCGGCCTTTTCGTGAGAAATCACGCGGGTCTTTTCCAGCAAGTACGTTCTGCATCGTGCTCCAACCAGAGTGCCGTCATTGTCAAATTGAAGCTGCGTAAACTTGCCAAATCGACTACTGTTGTCGTTCCGCACGGTCTTGGCGTTACCAAACGACTCGAGCAGTGGGTTGACTTCAATGATTTTCTTGATCGTGTAGTCGTTAAGGCCTCCTGCGATCGACGCTAAATGGTTCATGAGCACTTTTGTCGTCTCGGTCTTGCCTGCACCGGACTCCCCACTGACTAAAATGCTCTGGTTCACGGCATGGACTTTCATGTCCTTGTACGACGCCATCGACGTCGCGTACACATGAGGGGGCAGTTCCTCGCGTGGTTTCATCAAGTACTGCAGCTGCGTCGCTTCCGAGTAGAGCTCGGGCAGCCACTGATACGGGTTCACGGCAATACAAATGTCCCCCGTGTACGTATAGGGCAACTGTTGCAAAAACCGCGTCTTGACGTTGTACAAAATCGCAGCTTCGTGGAGGTAATTGAGCGCCGTCATGTCTTCAATGCCCTGAGGACCCAAGTGCTCGTTCTGGTACGGCAGCAGCGACTCGAGCTGCATGGTCTTGAGCAGGGCCTGGACTTTGCGGTCGTTGAAGTCCAGCACCCGCTCTTCCGGCGCTCCAGCTGCATCACAATCACCTGAAGGCGGGTACACACGCAGAACGAGCGTCTTCTCCGGCTTCTTCGGGTCCTGGCTCGGGATCTCGCGCAGGATCTGCGCGGGCAGCCACACGTACGTCTCGTCGGGCACGTAGCACTTGGAGCTGTGGGTTGCTATCATGACGCGACTGCGGGCTGGTGGGGTCGCGTGTGTCTGCCACATCGACTACCTCTCCTCTGTCATGTCAGCCGGCCGCGCAAACCTGCCATCGGGCATACGCAGCTCGCTCGCTCGCTAAAATGGAAGCGGTCGTACGAGAGCTCCAGAGCGATGGTACGTGACCGTTTACGACGCTACTGCAGCTGTATACGCTCGTCAGAGGGTACTGATGGCTGTGTGTGACTGTGTGCTTGTTGGCTGCTGATACTGCAGCGCAGCTGAGCGTGTTCCTGAGCCCAGAGTGCGACGTGAGTGCCATCGCCAGCGCCGTCGTAGCCCAAGACTCGGCCTCAAGGGACGCTATTGGGGCCTCTTCACGTCACACGAGTGCGTCCAGCGCTACGTACGACAAAGAAGACGATCTCAGCAAATCGGAGCATTTTGTCAAGCGCCTGGACAGCGCCGTGGAGCGCATCGATCGCGTCATCTCGGAGCACATTGGCGAACATCACGCAACGCTGCTGGGCCAAGTGGGATCAGTGGACGAGCTGCTGAGCCACGTGACGTTGGTACAGAGCTCCGTGGGAGATTTGAAGCAGTCGGTGCACTCGCTGGAGACGTTGATGCGCGAGCAGCACGCACATTTGCGCGACACGATACAGAGCTATCGCAACGTCGAGCAGTGCGGAGATATCGTACGGAGAGTGCTGCGCTTCCAGCAGCTGTCTGATCGCGCGTTAGGATCGGAGCTTTATCAGGAAAATGTCGATGCTGCGTTGACAAAAGAGGCAGTGGACAGTCGAAGTAGCCCGACACGAGATGCAACGCAGCACGAGATGGTCGCTGTGGCACTTGCAATCAGGGAAGTGGAGACGATGGTGCAAGACAAGCGATTTAGGGAGATCAGCGTTGTGCGTGCTAAGCTATCAGCAATACGAAATCTCGGTGCTGATTTGAAGCGCGAGGTGCGCGCTTCGCTGCGTGCAGGTATCCAGTGTCTGAGCCAGGCAGATGTCGGCGACGCGCTACAAATCCTTTTCTACTTGGGCGATCTGAATGCAGCAGCCCAAGCCTCCGTGAACGATGTGATTCAGGAAGTGGAGCGCAAGTGTACTGCCGCGATTTCAGAAGACAAGTTGATGCACTCGAGTGGGACCGACGCCAAAGGGCTGGACTTGAGCAACGGATCATCTCCAGGTAGCATCGTGCAAAAGTCTGACTTGTGGAAGGCGCTTGAGGACGTTTTTGACGCTATCCGCGTACATGCATTCCAAGTATGGAATCTGCAGCGCGTGCTACAAAAAATGGTGGACGGTGCATCAGGCAAAAGGTATGCCGATTTGGTGCTCGAGCCAGACGAGCCGTCCCTCTTCGCGACGTTCTGGGAGGTGACATGTGCGATTGTACGCGAGCTATTCGCGCACACACGCAACTATACCGCGGTGGTGAAATCTCTGCTGATTGCCGAGTATCCCCGAATGCGAGTGCAAGCTACACGAGTTCTAAACGAGTTGTATGCCGCTACAAAGCACAGTGCAGATGTAGAATTTTCGGCGTATTCTCCAGATGTAGCAGCTGACGCAATTGGCACGGAAAGTGGAGCAGTTGAGAGAGAGTTATTGCCTATTGCCGGCGGTGTGGCCGAGCGCATGCAGCTACTGGACACCATGGGACCATTGCACGATGCATTTGTCGACCGCGTCTACCGCACGATGGCGAACCTCGTCCAGCTCATGTTTCCTCAAAGCTCCAAGTTTCACACGTCACCGCCGGGTCGGAGCGACATGCAGACTTTGTCACGTGCGATTTTCTCGGAGCTGGAGAAAGCTGGTCAAGACCCCGAGCTGCTGGCAGGTGTCCTCCAGCAGGTGCAGAAAGTTGTTGATTTGTTTTGCTCCAACGTCAAGCGGATCATGCATAAGGGGACGGCGGCTACAGCAACGATGTCGTCATTTAGACGGACACCTGCTCAGGCTCACAATGTTGGTCTCATGAATGTCCTAAGCATACTGGATGGCACGGTGGAGGAAGTAGGAAAGCGCGTGGCAGCTGCAGCAGTTCCCAACGGCTCTCAAGCAGGAGCAATCACTCACGTGTCTTCCAGCGCTGAGGCCGTTGGTACTGGCAAAATCACGCCAAAAGAAGCTGAGTCGCTGTGCGCTGAAAGAGTAGTGCCCTGTCGGAAGATGGTTCGTGATCTGGAGTACGCCACGTTGGGACACTATCTGCAGACAATCGCAGTACCGGTGGAGACCATATTTGCAAAAATGCACGACGAGTCGTTCGGTGACCAAAGTGCAGCACTGGAAGCAGCAGTTTCCAGGGATACACTGCAAAGCAAGAGTGGATTTCCCTCGTTGCAAGGTACAGGCGGCTCAAAGTACATGCAAGAATTTAGTGATGCATTCACCGTGATTCTGGAAGAGCATCTGCGCCGCCTCCCCGTTGCCACGTTCACCACCAAGTGTCTGGCGGACTTTGTAGAGCGGCTCATCTCGGTGTTCACCCGCCATGCATCTTTGCTGCGCCCTCTTACCGAAAACGGCAAATTGCGCTTGGCGAATGATGTGGCACAACTGGAGCTCCATCTCGAGCACGTCGTGCCATTGCGCAGCCTCGGTGTCTCTTACGAAGAGCTTCGCGCGTTTCGCCATATGATCTTCCTGGAAACGAGTGACATTCTACGAGACACGACGATCGATAAACTTCGACCAAGTAACGTGTGGCACCACCTCACGTCTCGAGCTCCGCCTGAGCTACAATTGCCGCATCAGATGAAACGCTGGACAGCTTCGAGGTACATTGAGTGGCTGGATACTCGCGCCGCCATAGAACAGGCCACCCCTTGCACCACCCCTCCGTCTTCGACTGGCAATTCATCGGCGATGGTGATACCGCAGAGCGAGTTACCGCTCGGTTACCCGTACTTGAAAGACCTTCGCCTGGCCGTGAAAGCGGAGAAGCAGGCCTGGAAAGAAGTGAGCAAGTGTCTGGATGCGTATTCCCAACGAGTGAGCGCATCAGCAACTGCGGAACTGAGTCCGATTTACGACTTGCTGCACGAGTCGAATGCTATCTTGCTGGCAGGCTACGAAGCAGTCGTTTGTCGTCAATTGTAAACAACAAAACATACACCTCTGTTGGAGTGTTTGACATGTTGTTGGTCATGTCCGTTGCAGAGCTGTAACTCTGTTGCTCATGTTACGACGACGGGTCAAGTCGTTGCGGCGAACTTTTGTGTCGTACATCGGCTCGAGCTCTACTACACCTCTTTTGAGTGCAAACTCGCTATTGCGATCTCTCTTCAATCGATCAATCCGTTGTGGACCAAGACTGCTATCGTGCTGTGCTTTTGCGTCTTGCACGATGTTCATTCGATAGATGTTTGACGCGTGATCAGCTCTTCAACGCTGCCTTTGCAAACAGCAAGTCCACGAACGGTACATGTGTTGGCAACTCACCTCGTGGATTATCTCGGACTTTTTGGAACAATCGTGCAATCACTTGATCGATTTTGCACCTGCCCTCAGTCTATCGTTGCTTAGGTTTCGAACCACATCAGATGTCAACCGTTGCTGGCGCGCGATGATCTTACGAGGATAAAAAAAGGGGAGCTTAACTTTATTTATTGTATCCAAAAGAACACCTCCGACTAAACGTACTTAATCTGGACCAAATGCTCTGATTCATACCTCTTACAAGATTTTGTATTTGGTGCCTGACACACGTCAGCCCCCAACAACTGATACGGTGTTCAAACGTCGTTTATAATGAAATCTCATCCCTGGTGTGAACTTCACCTGTACTGTCGGTTACCACCCAAAGTGTAACCCCGTTACAGAATGACCAGGCCGAGATCGTGATCATCGCGATGATATCTTTTCCCTTGGGGACGATGTGGAAGAATTCTGCTGGACCGTTGACCGTATCGGACGTGAGAAGGTATCACCGCTCCCTTTGACCGAGGCATTGGTGGATTAGCCAGCACTCGCACAAATCGATCTCGCCCCCAGACCATCAGAATTTCATCCAGCACCTTTTGCCTCGAGGAGCTCCAACCACGGGCACATCATTACCGGATCATCTCAAACACACGCGTCCTGGGTGTAGTGCAGCGTTGGATGTAGACGGTAAACAATCGTGTCGACAGCAAGAGCACGACAAACCTGTTCCAATGACGGAAATAGACTCGACAGCAACCGCATCGGTGTTCCTACCGCCTCCTCTCAACGCACTGTTGGCACCTGTGGCGGGCAGCACTGGCATTAGTGGCGGCCGTCTTAGTTTGCATCGCATACCACCCGGATACGAAGGAGGTGAAGCACTTACCACTTCACCGTTTCCTGTCACTGCTACCTTCACAACTCCAGTGCAGTCTGACGCCTTCGTGAACGACACGGCGAGGGAGAAGTCTACGACAAAAGACTCGAGTGCTATCAACAGTGACGACCTCCCGCTTCTTCAGCCGAAGGGAGGACAGGCCAAGCGAGACGGTCTTGCTCTCGATCGAGCTACATCTGATGTCTCGGCAGCAACTTCGGTGACTGATCCCAGCGTCTCGATGGACTACGAAAACATGAACAGCTTTCTAGACAGCGTAGCACTCGAACTCGACGACATCATGGAGTGAAGAGCTCTAGTGCTATTCGACTGATATCCCTTGTTCCTGTCCACGTGATCGATGTTGCACCTCTACTATGCACATTCTTGTCCGTCTGGAAAACTCCACCTAAAGACACAAAAGCATATCCACAATTGTCGTTGCATACGTGTATTCTCGCCCATTCCTCCTCCGTCGATGCCAGCAGTCAGTACCATGTACTGCATAACAACACTGGCTCATAGAATGCTTTCAGTCGTAGCTGAATCGATCTCCATCATCACTTGTCTGGTCTTCCAGCTCTTTGCGACATCGTAACCATGCAAACATCCTTGAGCCGGCGTTCGGCGCCATCCTGGCCACCGAAAAAGTATATACGTCCATCGGTGTGCATCGTAGCGCCATGTCCAACACGTCCTCGTGGCAATGCATCAGTATGCTCATCGTCGGGGTTGCAGATAGCACCAGACTGCCACTTCCATGACTTCGTGTCTCAGATGAACGAATCGCTGAACACACTTGTTAATGCACTTGCATCGTTGCGCTGTGGATCCCAACCGCCAAAGATGAAATGCAGCCGTCATCCAAAAGCGTCGTCGAGTGACCTGTGCGCTCTTGTGGAGGCGTACCAACCATAGAGGGATTGAAACCACGTCCACACTGGATCACTTGACGTCTCTTCTACTTTTCTTTGCAACACGTGCACCTCATTAGAGCTTTTGGAAAAGCTATTGCCTCCAAAGTAAACGATCTTGTCGCCGACAGCGATAGCGATAGCACTATGATATGTGCAAGCGCTAGGAGCTTTTCCTTCAGCTTGTGCCGTCTTCCAGTTCCAGTCGTCTACACCAGTAACAACAACAACAACAACCGCAACAACATCCGCAACAAGAGCGATCGCAGCAGAAACGTCAGCACACTTGTCGCTTTTCGCACGTTGGCCGTCATTTCTTGCTCACCAGTGTCCAGAATGTGTACCGTGCTCCGCCGATTCCGTCCTGTTCTACCACCAAACACCACGGCCTCGTTCCCAATAGCAGTGCAAGTATAACCGCTTCTTGCCGACGGAGGTGGCCCACGAACGGCCGGTGGAAACCACAGGAAGCACTCGGTGTCCAGTACCATAACGTCGGAAAGAACGGCAAGCTCACCATCACCGCTTTCCGTGCGCTCGCCCCCAAACACAAGCACTACATTCTTGAGAGGCAGGTGCACGGCGTCGTGCCACGTTCGCGGGATCGTTTCGCAGTTGATTGGAGTCGTCCAGCGGTGTGTTTGCATGTCAAACACGTGCAAGTCCCCTAGTGTTCGCTCCTCGTCATCGATTCCACCGTAGGCCACCACGCGGTCGTTCGAGATCTTGGTAGCAGTATGGCCCCAGCGCTCAGTCGGGGCGTTTCCTATCGACTCGATCGTCTCCCACGCTGTGTCCTCAGCCACACGCAGTCACGACTAACTTGCAAGACTACACCAAGGACACTCGCATTGCGTTCTCCTTTACCTAACAACAAACAAACAACAAACAAACACACGGTCCATCAGACCTGCTGCTGCCTTTGACATTGACACGCCTCTGACCCGTTCCTCGACGCATTTGCTCGGCGAAGGTTCAGGTTGCACCTCGCGCTTATTGTGTCGATCTGTGCTGGAAGCACGTGCTGCTTTGCGAGCGCTCGACTGCTTCAGATCACGTGACGCCGACAAGCGATCCACCACACTGTCCGTCAGTGACCTTTGTGTCTGCTTCTTCTCCGTCGTCTTCTCCGTCGCCACGCATCACTACCGGTCGTGCCCCCAGCTGCCTCCAATCCTTCTTCTGGTCCATTCTTCAGCTCTCTCCAGTAGCACCAAAACATCGTCTGCCGGTGCGGTTTGCTCCTTCGACGGTCCATTCAATTGAGCCAACAGTACCGTCTGCTCTGCTTCATTGAGGAAACTCGGCCGCAGCCGTTTACCGTCCGCTTGAGACACGCGATCGTAATCCCTCGGACCACTCGCGTCGTTCGGTCGTTCCGTTTGCTGCTGAGAACAAGCGCCTGTCTGCTGCGGCGGCGGCTATGCGCGACTTGAAGCTGCGGTGCCTGTCACATGTCACACACACACATGTACCCATGAGTGGACGAAAAAGACAGAAGCGGTCGAGTCGGTCCCGCGCGCGACCGGTACACACCCACCCACACACGATCCTCACAGACGGTACGTACGTTGGCGCAACACGACGTCCCCCGTGAAGTTGCAGCAGTGGATCGTGAGCGTCCCCGCCGTCACGTCGGACTCGATGGTAGCCACGTTCGAGGGGAGCTCGACGTCGACACCTTCGTACGACACCCGCAGCATCGTTGTCCCCCTTGTCCGGCGGTTGGGGTTGGATACTTCCTGGAGACAACGAGTCGCGCGTGGCGGGTGGAGTCGCGCCACTAGACACCGTATATCCACCCGCAAGTACGAGTATCGGGCAGTGCATGTTCCACGTGTTTCACTTTGGCACGGCGGCTACGGGTGTTGTCTGGCTGTACTACTTGACGACGGTGTACGCGCAGCAGTACTTTGGGACCACGCGCGGTCGACGCTATCGTGTAACACACACGTTGCCAGCTAGTGAGACGGACGGGTGTTTCAGCTCGACGGTCAACGTTGACGCAGACGCGGGCGATGGATACTGTATCGGGAACGTGCCGTTTATGTCGTGGGTCATGTACGCCATGATGATTTTCAGCGAGTTTCTCACTTTCGTTGTGGGACTGCTGTTCAACTTCAGTATGTGGCGTTCGATTTGTCGTGGTGCGCGGTACATGAACGACTTCGAGCTGCCCACTCCCAGGGAACAGTGGCCGATGGTCGACATCTTGTTGTGTGTCTACGTGGATCTGGTCACGGATTCGATGCAGACACTGAAGAACTATCTTTCGCCGCAGTATGCGCCCGAGCTCCTCGTCATGTCTGTGCTGGATGTTGGTTACTATAAGTCTGTGTGGGTTGCGATTGACCACTTGAAGGTGACGGTGATCGCCAACGTGGTTCGATTTGTGGTGATTTGCGTGGCGACCTTGCGCGGCTCATGCACGAGCGTGTGGTGGGCCTGTGCAAGACGACCAAAGCTTGAAGACGTGGCGTCGCCAGCACAGCTCTGTCCGTGAACTCCGCAAAGAGGGTGGCAAGGGTGCGCAGCGTCGTGATTGTTCTGTCGGCTCGCTTTCGGACGACTTCGACTTCCGTGAGCGCGGTATTCTGCGTGTGACTTTCATTGGACGAATGATGCCCGATACGCTCCACTCAAAGGCTCGCAACATAACCAATTGCTTGTTCAACGAAGGTGCTGACGGCACGTATGTGCTGATTCTGGATAACGACATGAAGCCGTATCCGAAGCTTTTTGCTTGCGGTGCTGTCGTTCTTCTTCTCGGAAGGCGAGGCCGTCGACGGTGGAGGACTTCAGTGCAGCGACGATATTTCGTGGACCCACGTGTCGTACGGGCAGACTTCTGCAGACTCCTCAGTACTTTGAGGACCAGCTCAGTTGACGATTATGGGTGACCGGTGCGGGCACAAGAATGCCATTCTTTTTGACGCTGTGCAGCGTGGCCGTGATGGTTTCGACTCGGCAGCTTTTGCCGGCTCGAATGCTGTGTTCTGTCGCCAAGCCTTCGACTCGATTGGTGGTATTCAGTACGGTACTCAGACTGCAGATGCGTTTACGGGTAACGTGCTCCACACTTCTGGTGGGGACTTGGTGCACTTCCGCAAGGATTTCGAGGGCGATGCCAAGGGCCGTATTCGATTGTGCGGAGGTGCTGTTCCTGAAACAGTAGCTGCTGCTATGGGCCAGAAGAAGCGTTGGGCAAAGAGTGGTGTGCGGATTCTGCTGATGCAAAATGAGCGCGACGTCGACCCGGACTGGCGTCCTCCGCGCGTGCCTGCCCCAGGCCTGAAGCCATCTCTTGCGTTCCCGCGCAAGATGTTTTTGTACGACTCGGTGCTGTACCCGTTTTTGGTTCGACTCCTGCCCTGCGTTACGTCGCGATCGCCGTCTACTACTTGTGGACATGTGACGCGCCGATATACGCTCGTGGAAAGAAGATCCTGTACTCTTTCTTGCTAGTGCCGTTCTGCCGTTGGGTGCTGAACCTGCTGGCCAACCGCGCAGTTGACAACAACGACGTGTGGCGTATGCAGCAGGCATGGCTTTCGTTCTCGTTCATTACGATGATGGCAGTTTTGAGGCCATCCAGGCGCGTGTGACGGGTAAGGACAAGTCAAGGGCAAGCACGGGTGCTGGTCAGAAGACGCCGTGGACAGAAATACCGGATGTGCTTTTCTTCTTCACGCTACTGTTTAGTCAGCTCGTGGCACTCGTTCGTTTCTTCGAGCACGAGTACGTGACGAATTCGTGGAACTACGTGTCTGCCATGTTCTGTGGCTTTTTCGTCATGAGCCAGTTGTACCGCATGGTCAAGATGAGTATTCCCGAGTACTGCGGCTGGGACCATACTACTGCCACCTTTACGGCCAACGTGCTTGGCTTGTTGCTCGTGGTCTACAGTGTAGTCTTCGTGCAGCTATGGTAAGTCTACTACGCGGGCAATCTCCAGGTGGCCCAAGGCATCGTCGCAGGCACGAATGACCCGGCGGCGGCGAAGACGAACTGGACGCACCGGATTGTGTCGCGAAGACGCGGATGGTGTTTGGTCGACGAGGAGCAGAAGGAGACACAGGATGCGATGCATGCCGAGCGCAGGTGACGAGAAGCGGTGGTGTGGTCTATCTGGCGAGCCGGAGACGCGCTCGCAAGTGCGCGCTGTCGTCGACGCTTTCCCTCTAGTACTTGAGGTGTCATTACAGTTTGCCGTCAATGCCAAGTTGTCGATCCTTGCGATGTGGGCACTGCTGTCCATCCTCTCGTGCACTTGTGTCTTGTCCGCGCGTGGTAATGGCGTCAAATGGTATGTGTACTGGAGCATACGACGTTGGCCACCTCTGCTCGGCCGTCTTTGGTCTGACGGACGTGCAGTGAATCGTTACGTGTTGTGGTCGCACTTGTACTGAGGATGTAGGAAGTGAAAGTAATATATGTTGAGAGTAAATTACAGTCGGTTGTTAACCATACCTTTTGCACTTGGTCCGGTCAAGTTACACGTGGTACACGTTTAGCCTGCCCATCAACATGTGCTGGCCTTAAACAATGTCGTCCGGATATCGCTGTCTCACTCATCAACTCCTCCTGATAGTCCGACATGACGACCCTCTTCTCTCGACCCATATGTCCACCAGTCACATCTTCGTCCTACCTGTCAGCTTATTAGCCAATCAGGTGAGATCGGGACGTACCTGTAACAGGTCTTGCAGTTGAACACTGGAACTTCGATGACCTGTCAGAAAGCATATCTTCTAACACATGCCTTGCTGTGACGCTTTGCAAGGGGTACGAATGCCGCAGCGTAGCGCTTATTTGCTTGTTTGTTCGAGCATGGACTACTACACTGTACGGCAATCGACGAGCACGGAGGAACTACTTTTGCTCAAGAGTAGACTAACGTTAACAAGCCAATTGCAATCGTAATAATACACTTAGTTTTGTTACTCACTTCAATAAGAACTACGTTTTCTTTTGTCTTTCATGGGGCTATCGACACCTATACGCTCTAGAACGTAGGAGTCAAGCACACCAACAGCACGCGTGGCAAGCAATCGCAATGATGACGAAGAGTAATGAGTCTTCATCAGTCACTGCGAATGCATGCCACGCTCAACTTCGTCCAAAAACACGCCACGTTCCACAGCTTCAACGGGGGTAATGAGCCCCGAAGAATAGCGGATCGCAACGCATTGTCGAACAAAGTCTGCTGCCATGCCTTGACCGCACCACGTTCCGGAGCCTTCGGTGAGCGATGGGCTCCGGGAGACGCAACAGAGAGCAATGGGTCTCTGGAGCGCCAATCCCGGAAGCTCCGTTGCCCTCTTCTGGCAACGTGTGTGTGGCTTAACACCCGTTGCCCAGCGCGATGCGTCTTCCTCCAGTCTTCACGCGCGTCTGTTTTTTTGCTGACGGAATCCTTGAAGCACCAGTGCCGGCAGTCGCAGCAATGATCGCACGGGCAGCAGCAGTGGATTCCACACGCGCACGAGTGGATACTGTGCTCGCAGTCACACCAACACGCGCTCGAGCAGTAGTCGCTGGACGAACACGCGCACGGGAACCAGCAGTAGGTCCAGCGCCCACATCTGGCAGCGACGTCCTTGGCACTTGCAAGCACGCGAGCGCATTCATCTTGGCCGGTTCTGGTTTTCTCGCGAGGCCTCGTGCTTGTCGTGGTTGCCGCTGCGACTGCCTTCACATGTGTCTTCTGCTGCATACGTGCCTTGTTCTCGCCCGTCGCTTCCGCACTGCTGTCTTGCAAGTCCTTCAGCTGCATACGTGCCTTGTTCTTGCCCGTCGCTTCCGGACTGCTGTCTTGGAAGTCCTTCTGCTGCAGCACCAGCTGCAACTCGGACTCGCGCTGGACCTTGAGCTGGCCTTGCGTGGCCTTCAGCAGCTGCTTCTCCAGTCTTGCACTTGTGGCCTCAGCCTTTTCGGCGCGTTTCCGGAGCGCCAGCACTTCACTCTCCATCTTGCGCCGCGACTCGATACCTTCGACTCGCTCGTTTTCTGCCACCCTTGCCATGTCCGCTCGCAGCGCACTGAGGTGCGTCAGCGAAATGACTTGTTCCTGTAGCGCGTCGTTCGCGCGTTGGAGCTCGCTGCACGAATGCAAGATTGCTTTGCATGTGCTTTGGATGAACGTTTCCGTGGTGTTCATTGCGAATGGGAGAGCAGAATGGAAAATGACAAAGAAGCACGCGGGGCGGCGGCGGAGTGGTCATGGAAAACAATTCATTCATTATACGTTAAGAAAAATGGATATGGAAAATGGACTACTTCAACTGTAAGAGAAGTGGCCTGAGACGCGGCGGTGAGCCAAGTTGAAAATGGAGTAAAATGGCGCAAAAAACGGGCGCGCGGGTGGCGGCAATTGGGACAAGGCATTCATTTTATTTAAATGAGACGACGAAGTCGACGAGACCAAAAGATGTGATGGGTTGATCCGTGTGAGTAGGTTTTATTCGTGTTGAAGGTAAGAGAGTGGCTGATGTGTAGTGATGAGAGGTAGTTCTAGACGGCTCAAACAGAAAAATTCATGCTGCCAGCTATCGTTGTGCTGTATAGTTTCGCAGTGTCGAAAGGCAATTAAGCATGTTTCGCTACTTGACAAAGCACAAGCTTGACACTGATACTATGTCTAGCGTGTTGACCTTCGCGCTAACGCTCTCTCTGGGGTTCAGCACCAAGGAGGCGTCGTCACAATGCTACTATCGCTATCCTCAAAGTTGACGCTGACATAACCGTATATTTTCTTGATGTCTTGTCGTTCTTATCTTCATCGCGCGGACTACCAGCTTCCTCTGATTCCCTGGCCGGTAATGCCCCATCGCGCTCGTCAGGTCACACGCACTCGTCCCACATCACCCGATGCTCCTGGTGACGTGCCAGCGAACCACCGCCACACAGTGCCATAACCTAACACGGAGAAACCAGATTCGAAACCAGCTTGTCTTAAAAAAAAAATTCCACAAGCGTACAATGTTAGTCAGTGTGCTCGATTCCTATCGCAAATGTTGCCATCATCCTTACATGCTGTGGATAAAAGACACGACAGTCCGAGCTAGCAAAACAAACTGCAGCGTCGTCGCAAGATCACATGCCATGCTACACCAGCCCGCGAAGGATAGGCAAATCCGACAAGCGATACGAGAGTGAGTGGCCGAGTTTCCAATGTAGCCTACAAATTGCTACGGGACCGCTGCACAGGAGTACGCAACCGAGCACGGATGGGATCGTTTTCGGCTAGAGACGCCATTCAACAACAAAACACTCAACAACGTTCAGTCGATCTCCATCCCTTTCGGAATGTCATGTCTGGCCCTCACATACAGCTGCTATGTTATAAGACAACCACCCTCGCAATGCCTGCGACGCAACATTCTGGCTGTATCTTGCAGCACCCTCTTCAGATGCAGCACGGTCTCCATTGCATGTCAAGATGCCACTACAAAGCGTTCTGGGCAGCAAGTTGTGGATTTTGAGCCACATGCAGACTGAATGCGCAAACGGAAGTCCATAGGCTAGGGGCACTTTGATCCACATTGTCAACACTGCCTCGTTGTCGAAAGCCAATAGCAAGACATATCTAACGCTCCCGTCCCGTACATGCAGAAACTCAGTCTGCATCTATGATGCGCAACGCGAGCAATTCAATCACTGCGTCGTTCAGTCGTCAGTTTCGTCGCTATCAGCAAGCCCAGTACCATCACAATGCGATCGATGCTGAGATGTCATGATGCCACTTCAGCGAGCAAAGCAAAATGGAACCGAAAAAGCAGCGTGTAGCTTCCATGCCCACCCTGGTATCGCTCGTGCTGCCTCTGGAACAGTATCATCCTGGTTCACGAAGTCCTCGGCATGCTTACCTTTCAGTTGCCAAACGTTCGACCCCGTAATAGTTGACTTTTGTTGAGCCTCGTCAGGAGTAACGACGTTTATTGTGCACGCTTGACCGTTGTAGCAAGCGACTCAGCTACGTGCATTTCTCGAAAAGATGTGTGCAAGTTGACGCGTTCACATGCGCTGACAATCAAACGGTCTTCTGAACCTGCATAGCCAGCTTGTAGCCAATTTACACTCCCTTTGTCAATTGCGCCGATGAAACAATATCCACGCAAGTCTTGTTCTCATGTCTTGCTATTACTCCATACGTATCCGCACGGTCCGGTATCGCTGAAAATGCTTGTCCAGGGTCAGTGCTGACCGGAGCACGACCAATGACTCTCCGTCCTTTACGAGATATGCCATATTTCGGACATTCGTACAAAACCTACGACGTGAACAAGACCGGGTTGCATATACTGCATACATAGTGACGCTGGTATTCCAATTCTTTGCTCAACGTGTCAGCCTTGCCGAGTACTGGCTCCAGGAGTGCCGAACGTACTAAGCGCTTTAAAACTGTGCTTTCACGCATGATCGGCGTGAGAGTGCCATTTCATCATTCGAAGCCTTCAAAGTTTAATGCTCAACATCGATTAAACAAAACTATTCTCAAGCCTCGTACACTCCAGCGAGACAAACCCGAACTATCTCCATTGATCAGTTGACACATGCTGTAGAAACATCGGACTAAAGCATGGTCGTCATGCAGCGATCGGATCGCAGTAGTAATCATTTCATAGGTCTGACTGCATCGTTGTTGCTTTCAATCTCACGCGGTGGCAATATTCAAAGGTGCACACACGCGTTGTACAACGATCACATGTTCAGTCGTGGCGGATCGATACGCATGACCATCATCATGCCGGTCGCGATGTCAGCACCAGTAGCTGCGCGCATATTCTGCACCGATAAGCTGCTTTTGCTGTGATGGTGCCCCATCGATCAACTTCAACAGCTTAAGGTTGCACCAAAAGTGTTCGACGCGTATCAATACAACTCAACATGGTCTCCCACATTCGCACTCGTGCCTCCACATCCGCAGAA